ATGTATATATATATATATATATATATATATATATATATATGAAATAAACATTTTTTATTTAAATATTTATGAGTTAAAAAAAAAAAGAAAAATATTGATACAAAGTTTATGTATGTGTCTTACCAGTGGGGATGTTGGCTCTTTGGTTGGACTGCTGGAAGATACAGACTCTGAATTCAAACCCAATTTACTGTTGGAGGAAATAAAAATGAACTAATTTAAGCTTTGCCAGATACTCTTGGGATCTCTTGTACTGGCTCTAAAAAATGATTCATGTTCAATTAAAAAGTCATTCTTCTTTTAATTGCATGTGACCGATGAGTATTACCGTGCCAGGATCCTGTCAACCTGAACCCGCTCATCCTCCGTGTAGCCCGGCCAGTCCCTCTGGACCTCACGGAAAATAAAGTCCTTCAACGAATAAGAGTTATCCTTTGGGTTTAGACTGGCCACCTAAAGGAATGGAAAATATTACATTGATTGGTTTCCCTTCTGTGAAAAAATACGGGACATACAAAGATTTATTTAAAAGGAGCTCTCTTTCCTTGGGTAAAAAAAAAAAAAAAAAAAGACAATAATGGCTCTTAAAATGGGTTTTAAATGTAATTAATTTAATAAGCTTGAAATTTGAACAAACATTGAACAAGTATTTAACACGTTTTTGAATGTAGTAAAATTTTTCATTTTATGTTAAATTTAATGATTAGTATACACATAAGATGTTGACTACACTTTGAATACTTGTTTAAGTTGGCACACTTAACAGCGGCAGATACATAAACACTATAAATAGTAAAGCAAATGGACAGCTAGGCAAAGGTATATAGTGTTACTTCTTATGTTACAACCCAGCGAGGAGACCATTTCAGATTTTCAGTCCTTCCTGCATTTCCAAAGAAGGAGAGAAGCTTGTTTCATACTTCCTTTTTCAAAGCCTGAATTAATTCCTTCTAGACTTCATAGAAAAGGACAACAACCATGATATTTCTCCTTTGAAACTAGCGGGCAGAACCGAAATTGTGACTTCTACCCCTTTTGATGACAAAAGCCATTCAAATATGACGACTACCAACAGTATGACCTTAGATTGACTGAAATGAAGTATGCTGATCTCTACATCATGAGCTGTTTGAGCGTCCATGCATGTGCATAATTGCTTTAAAGGTCCCATATTTTACACCTTTCTGGAGTTTTATTTATATGGCAGTTACATAGCACCTAGACCTCAGTTATCATGAAAAAAGCCAGGAAATTTCAGTTTTGACAATATGGGACCTTTAATAGGTTTAATTTATGGTTGCCTAATTTGCCGCGTGCTATACAATCACCTGAGGTGAATGCATGTCTTTGTGTTCGGGCTGTAAAATGGTGACTTGCATTACGTGACACAGTGCTCCTGTGAAAGTGCTGTGAGCCTGTAGCCTGTGGTTAGATTACAGCTGTTATTTGATGCTATCTATAGTTCTGTGACCTATTGTGAACTAATATGTATGATTATGACAGTCCTCAAGTTGCATTGAGAGAACTTGCACAGCAAGTTAAGTGCCATTAATGCCTTTCTAGTTTTTCATCTTGTTCTTTAAACATTAAACTAATAATTCAGGTTAAATACAGATTACAGTGGGGCACTTAAAATGGAAGTCTTCTGTTAAAACTTGTGTTTTATTACATAACATTACACCTGCTGTGGATTGAGCTTAATGGTTGCTTTAATTCTGAGAAGTGAACTGATTCCACTCCACAATTTCACTCTTACCTGATGTAGTGTAGAGCCCAAAGAGTTGCGGTCTTTCTGGCTGATGCCGTCTCTTTGCAGTCTGCCGAGCAGCTCTAGTTTCTTGTAAGAGCGCAGGGCCAAAAGGTGAATGACGCGGTCCCGGTATGGCCGTTGCGATACGGGGTTGTTGGTAAGGCACTTGCGGATGGTGTTGGCTGGGTTGAGGGGGGTGGTCTGCTTCCTTTCTGGAACTGGGTCGGGGGCTGAGGGGGCCGGTTTTCGGTGCTGGACTTTTTTGTCTATGCCAAAACGACATTCACAGGGAGACAGAGCGGTTACAACAGTGAAAAATGTATCATTAAGATGTGCTTTAATTTGGTATATAATACGTGGTGGACCATGTACTCAAGGGCTTAATTCACATTCTACCCTATTCTATACTGTATGCAAGATTAGGAATAATGCTAAACCAAGTATCCAGATGACAATTTCTATTGGTGTCTAATGCTGCCTACAAAACCTCATGCTTGCACCATTTCTTTACTGTAAACCTCGGAAGAGAATCAACGAATGCAAGACTGAAGTTGCAAATTTAATCTTGCCAAATTAAATTTAATAGCGTGCTGCTTTAGTATTTTTAGAGTATTCGAAAATAAGCATGCAAGCATTTGAAAGCAGCCACATCAGTCAGATGTTAAGTACATTGATACCATATGGAGTCGTGTTTATTTTAGTATCAATGTACGGTGCCAATACTTTTTCATCTCTACACCCTAAATATTCTCAAAACAATACTGAAGTACATACTTCAGAGTTTTAAGTGTCACAGAAAAGTTTCCTCCATTATGAAATTCCTCAAAAGCTATTTAAAAGATTAAGGGTATCGACTCTTTAGCCATCCTACTTCCTACGTCTTTCTCTTACGAACTCTCCCTCGGTTTGCCCAAACATGTGCCGATGACTGGACGACATCCAGACGCAAACTTTTGCTGTCTCACCTCCTGCCAGTCAGGTGAAACAGCAAACTTTTGCTGTCTCACCTCCTGCCAGTCAGGTGAAACTCTTACGTCAGTGGATAATAAGCTTTGGCCAACACACATGTATGGCAGACTGGGAGGAATCAAGGAAGGGAAGATAATTTAATCTCTGGGTTATATGGGAAATGTGCATCATTTCGAACTCTTGCTTGTGTCTCTCAGATTAAACACACAGGCAAAAGAGTGTACCGTGGTTTCCTGAGAACCAGCTGCTTCAAAGCCTTACGCCACAAACCCTCTTTCTTGCACTTCCTTTTGCTGTGTAAAATCCGATCACTCCTCCCCTGCGGCTTAGTGCCGAGGGATGGGGGTGAAACTGACTTTTCCAGTTTTGAGGTGGAAGCCAGCTGTGGTCCGGAGAATGGGGGCTCCCAGAGGGGAGTGACAGCTGAACAGGTGCTGAGAGAACGGTTTTGTCTGGCAGGGGTGAAATATAATGAGCTGTATTTGAGTGTTAGTTAAAGCCACTCTAAAAACCCTCAAGAATTCTCCTTTTTTCCTAAATGGTGATACCATTTTTAAAACATGAGATAAAACAGGTCTCTGGAGTTGCAGCATTTTCTCCCCCCCTGCAGTTTTTTAAAATGCAAAAAATGCTGATTTCATTAAACAACCTAAGCAGGTGACAATAGCCTGAAAGATTTAGTCTGTCACTTTCCACGTTTTAGTCTGTCACTTGCACGTTGTTAATCTCGGAGACATGGTTTACGCCACGACTTACCCACATCAGATAAATAGGATGAACTTTTACTTTGCTTTTTCTCTTGACCCTAATCCATACATCACTCTCCGTAAAGCTCCCAACTGGTTTAACGCACACGGTTATATGACAGTTACAACTGAACTGGCCGAGCGTTACAGGTCAACGTGAAAAATGGAGGAGATCTGCATGATGTGAGATCACAAATGACACCTTTATTAGTCTATTTCAATCTAGAAATTAGCAAATTAATGTAACGTTGTAGTACACGCAGATCTAAATTGGGAAATGAAAACAGAAACTGAAAAGAAAACCCCATCCTGTGACGATAATAGTCAGTTGCATAGAAAGATTCTTTGAAACAGAAACGTTTCGTTTGAAACACCAGCCAGAAATGAAACGGAAATGCTGAAAATGCTAAATTAAACTGGATAGAGAGCTTTTCACACTTGAAACTGCTGACCTATAGTCATTTTTAACTTTGGATTAATGTAATACTGGGTACTCTCCTACTATCATTGACCAGAATGTGTTTGTGTGCATGTTATAAGAGATAAAATACAGTGCATTAATATCAAACCTCTGAACGGTCCTCCAGGTCTGATGAATTTGGTGCTGTTTTTGCTTTTATCATCCTCTGATTTGGTCACACGCTCTTTGGTCACTTGGTAGGAGTCATTGGTGGCACATACTGTGATTTTGTCTTGAATCGTTCCCAGGGAGGACAGATGGGGGACCCCAGAGCTAACAGGCAGAAAAAGTAGTAAAAAATGAGAAACGACAACAAAACGAGCAGTAGTTTTGACGCACAAGAAACTTGCTCAGCCCTTACCTAGATATGTACTGGTGGATACACTCAAAGCTTCCTTGAGGATTGTCTTTGCCAAAGTTGGACAGATAAAAGTCGAAGTTATGAAAGCCATTGGAAGTGTCTGACGTTGGGATTTTAATGCACTGATAGGGCAGAGATAAAACAAAATGTAATTATTTTAAGTGCTAATAGAGGTAACCATGAAAAAAATTATATCAGCTTAGCAAATCAAAGTGAGCTACCTAGACAGTAAACAGGTGTCTTTTGTTGGTTTCACACTTCAAATTTAAAAAAAATATGCTTTGTTTGATCAATTTGAAATAAAAAGCTGAAATAAAATCTAAATATAACAAATGTTGCGTTGGCAACTAACTGAGGTACTAATAAAGTTGAGAAACTAAAATTACTAAAACTTTAAAAAAAAAGCTAAATATATAATATTTAACAAAATGATAAAAGCACGTCACAAAAAAAAACCGCAATAGAAATGCTTAGCAAATCAAAGTGAGCTACCTAGACAGTAAACAGGTGTCTTTTGTTGGTTTCACACTTCAAATTTAAAAAAAATATGCTTTGTTTGATCAATTTGAAATAAAAAGCTGAAATAAAATCTAAATATAACAAATGTTGCGTTGGCAACTAACTGAGGTACTAATAAAGTTGAGAAACTAAAATTACTAAAACTTAAAAAAAAAAGCTAAATATATAATATTTAACAAAATGATAAAAGCACGTCACAAAAAAAAAACCGCAATAGAAATGTATTAAACTAAAACTATTACTATACTACTATAGAACATAAATAATACTAAAATAACACTGCTAATCACCCAGTAATTTCATATATGCATTTTGTGAGTTTAGGGTTACTAGTTTAGCAAGATGCTAATGCAAAGCTCTACTGGAATCAACCATTAGCATTGGTCAAGTCTTTTGCGCAGTTCTCATGAAGAGTAATATTTGTGATGCGCTTGACTGACATTTAAGGGAACTGCCGCCCATGTAGAGCATTTCAAATGATTCACTTATGATGATCCATCACTGTCGATGGATGAAGGAAGATGGCTGCTTAGGTTTTGAAACAGACTCATGGTGTCAGCTCAGTCAGAGCTTTGTAATAACATGTCGACTGCAGCATAGACAGTAGTTAAGCACACTATGTCTTTAGAGAGAGCATTCATGAGTGTAAAACCAGAACCCTACTTGCCGACCCAGTATTTATAGTCACACAGCGTCTGAAGTAAATTACAGCATGGTGCACAGGGTCAGTTTAAACAGGCACTTTCACAGTAGAAAAGTCAGACGCCGCCCAATAAAACCACAGAGGGCTGAGGGCTCTATTAAGACACCAGGTTCACAATTATAGAGTGCTTTGATGAGTAACTCCCACCCCTCAGCCAGCGATGATACTCATTCAGATGCTGTAAAAATCATATTAAGGCAATCTAAAGTCAACTTACACCTTGAAGACCCTGAAAACGTATCGTCGCCTGTGAGGACCGTGCATTCTGAAAAAGATGAGAATATTCAGATGTCAACAAACAACTAATTTATCCATCCAAACATCAAATATAAGCAACCAAATGGGCATCTGCTAATATAATTATGAAAAACAAGATTAGTGCAACTATAATACAAGAATAGCATACTATGCGTACTACAGGTGCATCTCAATAAATTAGAATGTCGTGGAAAAGTTCATTTATTTCAGTAATTCAACTCAAATTGTGAAACTTGTGTATTAAATAAATTAAATGCACACAGACTGAAGTAGTTTAAGTCTTTGGTTCTTTTAATTGTGATGATTTTGGCTCACATTTAACAAAAACCCACCAATTCACTATCTCAACAAATTAGAATATGGTGACATGCCAATCAGCTAATCAACTCAAAACACCTGCAAAGGTTTCCTGAGCCTTCAAAATGGTCTCTCAGTTTGGTTCACTAGGCTACACAATCATGGGGAAGACTGCTGATCTGACAGTTGTCCAGAAGACAATCATTGACACCCTTCACAAGGAGGGTAAGCCACAAACATTCATTGCCAAAGAAGCTGGCCAAGTATTGAGTACATGTACAGTAAATGAACATACTTTCCAGAAGGCCAACAATTCACTAAAAATGTTTTTTTTAATTGGTCTTATGAAGTATTCTAATTTGTTGAGATAGTGAATTGGTGGGTTTTTGTTAAATGTGAGCCAAAATCATCACAATTAAAAGAACCAAAGACTTAAACTACTTCAGTCTGTGTGCATTGAATTTATTTAATACACGAGTTTCACAATATGAGTTGAATTACTGAAATAAATGAACTTTTCCATGACATTCTAATTTATTGAGATGCACCTGTATATCTCCAGCATGTTGCATGAATACTGTGAAAAGTTACAGTATGTGGATTTTCTGCATGCATGGAATACAAGCAGGGCCTAAAATGTGCAGTTTACAACCAGACCACACACTAAGAAATATCCCACAATGCAATACACTCAACTTGACCTTCCATATCCACTGGAACAGAAAACATTGTCAGTCGTGATTTTATACAGTACATAAGTAGTAGAGGTGAATTCAGGAAAACTGACATTTTTTCCCAGTAATCTCAATGGCAAAATGTCCCAATTTACCTGAATTCATCCCACATAGTCACAACCCTTCACATCCCTGCAACCATACACCTTCGGTTAAATTCAAATACTTCCCAAAGCCTCCTCCATCTGCAAAGGCTTGTTTAAGCAGATAAGTTTCACAAGCCCCCACCCCCAAGCACACTTGCACACAGACTAGATCAGATCACATTACACAGGAATACGAAGAACTACTATTAAGCACTCTGATGATCTGGAAGCCTAAACCAGTGGTTCTCAACACTCAAAAATCGTTTGGACATCTGTGTTGACAGGGTCACGAACACAATGCTAAACACAAATAATAAAATGCAACTTTACATATAATCATGCATAGTTAGGATAGTAACCAGGCATTACATAAGTTAATAAATCTGCATGTTGTTAGGCAATGCGATTCATTGTAATTTTACATTTCAACAACTTTGTCCAACAGAAAAACCAGCCTTAACCACAAATAATTACATGTGACAAACAGACAACTCAGTTAAACAGCTTTCTTAGTGAAACAAACATAAAAAAATTAATCTAGACACACTTTAGCAATTAAAGATCTATTATCAACATTTAGAGCCATGCGAAAGATAAGGCACGGCTCCAGGATCATTGCTGAGGTTCACACATTCCCTGTCTTGTCCCATTGCCGAAAGATGAATAATGATTAACCACGAGCTCAGCTGGGAATGGTAGCTAGAAGACAAACAGATCTGGAACATGACAACATGTGCTAAGACACCGTAAATAATACCCAAATTTCGATCAGTCAATCAAGCTAGCTGGAGATACTTCAAGAACATTAAGCATTCTGTCTATTTTGCGGTATTATGCCAAAGGTAAGACAGGTATTACTATCCGATTAATATAGGAGGACGCTAAGCCCTGCAGGATATGATCACTACATTCTTTACACCAACATGACACTTAATACACAACACGATTGTAACGTAACCTTCTGCAGCCCTTATTTATTATTATATAATATTTTGTTGTAACATTTTTCAAATACTTCCATGATAGATAACATCAACTGAACGGCATGTGTTTTGAATGAAAAACTAAAACTACTAAAAATAGTTTTTTGAAATAAAGCTGCAATACGAAATGTATATATTAGATTAAAAAAAAAGTTAAACAAATCATTTTAACTTGAGGTAGTAAAATGACTAAAAAAAAAATAGAAATATTTAACAAAAAACAAACCAATAAAAATGTCAAAAGCACATAAAACTACTAATACTTAAACTAAAATTAAAAACTGAACATATAAAAATAAAACAAAAATGTAAAAAATAATAAATACTATAATCGTGCTAGATAATTTCAATGGAACGGCATGTGATTTGTTTATGAGCTCTCCCCGATGGTGTGTTGTAACATTTTGAGTGTCAACCAAACTGCAAGCCCTAATCAGCAAAGACAAACAGTGCTAGTCTAAAGCAGCCAGGAACTTGATGGATTACTAAACTAATTTTAGTCTCAAACAGGCTTCAAGGTTCAACTTAACTCTTTTAAGAGAAATTCTAAACAAAATGGGTTGACTTCATCTGTATAGGTGACCCGGATTAGATGAATGGGGTGAATGTCCAATCATCCACAACCCAAAGCAAATCTCGGGCCTAAATGTTTACCAGGATTTGGCCTTTCGGGACCGAATGAACCATCTCTATGAACCCAGTGCATGTTTTTTTCTCCTTTTTTACAATGAGCCAGCTGTAGCTTTAAGTCAAACACTGCCTTGTAAGCACTTTGTGAGCAGTGTAGAGCTTTAAAAAAATCCAGACAATGCAGCTCTTCATTGAAGCTGCCTGATTTCTCCTAGTAAGCCAACGGAAACTCTTTCAGCCTTTCGAAATGTTAGAAATGCCCAGAAGTTTTTTTTTCTTTATCAATTTCCATATCAATCATATATTCATTACACTTTTACAACTCTAACTCACACATTGTTACTACTCACTTGAATGACCCAAATGGAAATAACCATACGCAAACCTTTGCAAAAAATTGATCAAAATTAACGTTACATGGAAGGAAGATGATTTGTGCACTGTTAAAACTGTATAAGCAAAAGTAAAGGGTTTCCCCACTTAGGCTAGTCACCATGCTGATGCCACACATAAAAAAAAAATATTCCTTTCTGAACCAGAGTTAATTCATTTGTAATGCCTTTTAAGATATCGCATGATAAACGAAGATTATAACATAAAACGACACGATTTGTTTTAATAAAACACATTAAACTCAGGTGTGTTTATGGGTCTTCATAGCTAACTAGCTAGCGAAGCAACCATATTTAGACGTTTGTTAGACAAACATATATGTGATTTGGTCTTATTGTGATTCTAATCCATGTTTATTTGAACTAAAAGTCATGAAAGTAAAACAAATAACAAAAATGTCGCCACATTTATGAACTTAATCATTGTTGGAGGACTGCCAGCTAGTAACATTAGCCATGCTATCAGCTAGCTCACCAAACTTTAATTTTCGTCAATTCCAAAGGCGTTCCCGCATGTAACACTAAACATTCACTTTAAAGAGACTGTAAACTAACTAAAATGATCAAGACATCGAAATGACAGACAATCTAATCGACGTTATTAGTTTGAAGAGAAAGTTTTCTCGAACTGTTAGCATTGTAGCTCATCTTTCGAGGATAAAACACAAGAAAACATAGAGCTAACACAACGATTTCAACTTTACCCTGTTAATATAAGCTCTTACAACCGCTGAGACTTCATAAATGTATTAACATTTAAGAAAGGTGGTTTTTAGAGTTGTAATTAAATGCAAAGAGTTTATAGCAGGTAACGGTGTTGGCATAATGTTGACTCCCTAGAAGTCTTTTTTTCTTTAAAAACCATTTGCAATCAATCGACAAGGACAACAGCCAACTGAAAACGTTTATTAACTTTTTTTTTTTTAAAGATGTTGCATTGCTTAGAAAGGAATAAAACATAATTTTTGATACATCCAATGCCTCTTTTTGGGCGAGCAAGCTCTCGCTCTCCCTTTCTCTCCATGAAACTGTAAGTTTTCCAACACTCACCTTACAGTTTTGGTAGTTTTCTAGCGTTTTAAAGGCGGATTCTGTCAGTTTAACATGTAAAACTGATATTCTGTCGCTCTTGCGGCCACAGTTGAGTCCATATGTGCCATCCTCGCAAAGAGCTGCCATCGTCTTCACCAGCCCTCCACCATAGTCCCTCTGACATACGCGCAAACTCTCTCTAATGCGGATAGAGGGAGGGACCTTAGCAAACGTAAATCCCTTTCTGCTCTATACTGTTAGAAAGTTAAGAGACTAGTTGAGTCTTTTTACTCTGTAACACTTTAAGCTAAAGGGGTTTCCTGATTATTTTATGTAGGCCTATGCTTCTTCACCTGCTCCACAAGCATTGTGTTTGTATGATAATCAGCTTATGCTCGTTTATGCTTGTTATTTCCTCTATGCTTTTTTATTTTAAAAAATATTAAAAAATATTAAATCTCTTGAAATGTTTAAGTTATGGATAGACCAATTAATCTGCTGATATTTGGCTATTTTGAGTTTAATTATGGGTCAATAACAGTTTAAAAATCAGCCTCGTCAGTTAGCCTATAATCAATGTAATAATCTGTTTATAAGTATTACATTTATTAAGTCTTATATAAAATTCTGCAATAATTGTCTTTGAAATTCAGCATTTAATTTACATTCTTTTGTATCATTAAATTATGCACACACACAAATCAATGGCAAATCTTTTAAATATTTATTTTTGTTATTTTCTCTATGCCTGTTATTTGATAAATACAAATATTTAATTTTTTTTTATATATTTTAAAACATAATGAAATATATTTATATATATATATATTGATACAGACTGATATGTGGACATTTTGAGATTGATAACCATGCCGATTAATTATGGTTAACCATAACCATGCTGATTAACAGTAGTTAACCTTAAAAATTAGCCTTGCCAATTAAAAATTAACATTTTATGTTTTCAGAAATTTTTGTAGTGTAGTTTATATTGGCATTATATTGTTGGTATCATATACTTGTAGATATCAGAATAACATTAGTTATTAAACAAAAACAATTTGTTAATAAAATGAGTTTAGAGGCTGGTTGGATTTGCTTGCTTCTGCACCCTTCCTGTGATTTAAAGGATTATTAAACACAAAAGCAAATATATTACACTAGTCATTTAAATGTAATAATTTAAATCCAGTGGAGTGTTTTCTCCACCGTTGCTAAGATTGGAGTCAGATTTGGTTTGCCAGCCGTCATACTTACCACTCCCTGTCTTTACCACAGTATTTCTAAAAAACACTGCAATAGGTGTCAAACAAGTGTTTGGTTGGTTGGGTCCAGCCTGCAAGTGTATTATTGTACATGTCTCACTGTTTGTAAGCAGTGACAGACTGCAGTCATCAGCCAATTGCATCAGGGTCACATTCTGAGTCACAGTCGGTCCGTGGTTACATCACTCATAAAGTAATCTGCAGGAACATGTTGAACAAGGAACAACAGTTTCTGGACATGATTGATAGACTGGGTATTTTTACATGTAGGTGTGACAAACCATTGCATTAATCGTAATCCAGCAAGCAAACCAAGCCTTATCGAAAACAGGCCTTTTAATGAGTTCAGTCTGATCTGAATTTATTGATCATCTAGACTGGATTGGGTCAAAGTGTCATCTGAGAAGGTCAACCGTTTATTCGTAAGCCTGCCATATTGTAAAACTTGTTTGGTGGCTTCTGGCTATTTTCCCCCAGCATGCACACCTGCTGTGCCTTACAGAGTCACACTCTGGGCCAGAGTGATTGTGCAGAGTGTTTTGGTGGGGTGCTGTAGTTTTAGGCTGGGTGCAGGGAAGCCACTGTGAATCCTTGAGATTAGGCCTGCTTAAAAAGCCTGCCACACCCTTGATTAAAAACTGGTTTATTTGGTGTTTAAAATCGGCCCTGCAATGCATGCTGGTCCAGAAGGCTACACAGATAAAGTAACGGGATTATAAGATGTGTTTGTAAAGGAACACTCTTAAAGTGATTTTTAGCTGAACAGCATGAGTATTAATTAAGTGGGTGTTAATTAGTTTCTCATCATGCTGATGCATCTGTCAGTGGCACAATGGCTGAGGAGTGGAAACATTCAGGCACATTAAAGTCACCGCATCTGATTACATTTCCTCTGATTTCCATGGCATTGTTGACAGGGTGTTATCATGGCTGAATCCTGCACAACATGGGCTGCTTTTTTTTATAAAGCCTCATGCTGGTCTGGAACACAATAAAGAACAGATGGGATTAAAGCAATTATTTTGGTCACCTCTGATTAATGAGAGAAACCATGACTTAGTAGAGCTTCTACTCTAACAAGTCAAACCTATGAATTTACACAGACATTTTTTCAGAAAAAAATTAAATCTAATAATCTGAAAATAAAGTTTTAGAAGACATGTCAACAGTGTTACATTGCATATCGTATTATATATATTATATCAAAATTTTCACTGT